TGAATGTATATGGGCCACAGCATCCACTTACCATCAGGTGGACTGTGTGCTCGTTTGTCACCCAATGCTATAAAAAAGAAAATAAACTAAAACAGGATATGGGCAGCAGCATCTTCCTCGTAGCAACTCAAAGTGAAAAAGCTGCGGTTGCCAAATCTGTGATTGCCAATCCGCCTGCCAAGCGTGGCAACTAGGGCAGAAGCTAGAAACCCTCGGGGAGCCATATCTTCAGCAGTGGACTTTTGTAGTCTGAAGAGATGGATGGATGGAATTCGTGCAACAAATTAAAAAAAAATAGTTGAAATTACACCATTAAAAATGTTAGGTAGAAAAACTACAATCGGAATAAAGACGAGGAAATGAGAAGGCTTGTAGCTAAACAACTTCTCTCTTATTTTCTCCATGGTCGTCACAACATATTATACTTGTTACGTGCATACGTTTTTCAATATTTTTTATAAAGAATAAGTGTGACAAACAAGCATACAGTTCATCCGATGGTAAGTGGATGCTTTGGCCCATAGATATCTACATTTATCCTCGATTAAAAATCGAAATGCAGATACGTTGTCACCCGGAAGAATAAGATGTAATGCCTCGTTTGGAGTAAAAAAGAGTCTCCGCATCTCTACACTCACCATACGAAATATAGCAGTATTAATCTGCTACTTTACGCTGGTATACGATAAATTTAACATTATGCTTGTAAAAGGTTTTTTTTATATTTTATTTATAGGATAGTGTGACAAACGAGCACACAGTCCACCTGATGGTAAGTGGTTGCTGCGGCCCATAGACATCTACATCTATCCTCGATTACAAATCCAAATGCAGATGCGTTGTCACCCGTGAGTACTAAGATGGAATGCCTCATTTCCAGTAAAAAGGGTCTCCAGTTCTCTACACTCACCATACGAAACACAGCAGCAATAAGCTACTATTTCACGCTGGCATTCTGTGAAAGCGTGGTCCTTCTCCGGTCGAGCCGACCCATTCGTGCTACAATTATACTACTAATATAATTGCAGCATGACTCTACTACTCTGAAAAGGAAGAAGGTTTCAATTATACAGTCTAATGTACTTTGCGGGGATCACCTTCTTTTTTGACTGAGGCACTTTACATTTTGCCTTTAGCATTTCACAAACCAGCTATTGACGTAAACAGACGCCGCTGTTTGTGTTACGAATTATACAATATGTCGTAAACGTAATCCTATGTATGTGTGTTTTAGAGACAGTTGAAAGGATTATCATAATTAAAGTGCAGTGACGATTTCTCTTATTATGTACATTATAAAATTTGTACTATCTTCCCTGGAACGAAAGAGGCCCGGGAGAGGCTTCTACAAGAGTCCACTGCTGAATTTATTCACAGTGGTAAATAATAAAACTCAAAATCAAGATTGAAAAAAGACCATTTATATTCTTTATATAGCAGTTATTGCCAGACTGGTTGACTGACTTTTCTTTTATAGAAAAGGGTGACAAAATACAGATTCGTCTCACCCCTAAGGACTTAAATGGAATGCCTCGTTTGCAGTAAAAAGAGCCGTGGTAGCTCAGTGGTTAACGCTCGCTGTAAATATAACAGAACGCGAGTAACCCGGGTTCGATCCCCGCCGGCACCAATGAAATTGTTAATTGCAATTTTAAGTACTGATTTACCACGTGCTCGGCGGTGAAGGAAAACATCGTGAGGAAACCCGCATGTCTGAGGAATAAGAAAAAAAAATATTTCGAAGACATGTGAAGTTCGTCAACACGCATTTGGGCAGCACGGCGGACACTTCCTTGCCCTAAACCCTCTCAGAAATAAGGGGGAGGCCTGAGCCCAGCAGTGGGACGTATATAGGCTGTTTACTTTACTTTACTTTACAGTAAAAAGAGTCTTCGAGTCTCTACACTCACCACACAAAACACCAGGGCATAAAGCTGGTATTTCACACTGGTATTCTGTGAGAGCGTGGTCCTTCCTCGATCCAGCCCACCCATTCCTGTGACAATCATAAAATAATGTGTATTATAGGATTTGTATTACATCTTCCATAGCACGAAAGAGTCTCGGACAGAAGCTCCTTCAAGAATCCACTGTCAGATTTTATTCAGTGTTATAAATCATAAAAACTAAAAATCAAGATTCAAAATGAAAACCATTTATATTCTATATTGGGCAGTTATTCCCAGGCTAGCTGACTGACTTGCTGTTAGATTGTTAATCAAATCTAACCATCGTTAGCATTGTTTTCCTTTTAAGTATTTTAAATTTCTCGTGAAACGAGATGGTTATACAATTATTTATCTTACTTGCAATTAGATGTTTCGGTTTTGTTCCTTGTACTAGATTCTTCCCCTCTGTCAAGGATTTGGAATGTTTAGTTCCTGGCGTATACATAATGGTTATACTGCAATTTTACGGATGCAATCAATTCCATCTAGGGTTACCCGTAGTATCGACTTACCATGAGACACTAATCAGGAAGCTATATTATTTTGACGTAAATAACATAGCGCTTAAACTTATTACATTTAAATAATATGACGTATTTAAATAATAGGACGTAAACAGTTGTAATTAATGGGTGTAGTTCTCCCGGGTCCTAGTATTTTAGGGTGTTCCTCGGGGCTCAATTTGGTACTTGGTAAGGAATAAACATGATATATTTTTATTTGCTGATGATACTTCGTTGTTTTTCAGACTTTTTACGACGGCAATTTTTAAAATATGACGAAGTGAAAAATCCTATATCGTAGTACACTGGGTTAATCAATTTTCTTTTAAATAGTAATAAAATTAATTGTATTAAATTAATAAACATTAAACCGAATACCAATGTGCTTTTAAATGGGGAAGAGCTGGTTCTTGTTAAATCCACTGTTTTTCTCGGAATTACAGTTGACGTGAAACTCCAATGGGGCCCTCATATATTTAAACTAGCTAGCAAACTTAGTTCTGCAGCATATGCTGTAAAAGAGATTAGAGGCCTTATATGTGTTGAAACAGCTAGATTATTTTATTTTAGTTATTTCCATAACATAATGTCATATGGAATCCTGCTATGGGGTAGTGCGACTGACACTAAAATTGTTTTACAGAAAAGAGCCATAAGAGCAATTTGTAACCTAGGTCCGACACTTGAGAAAAATTTAAAGATATTAATGGTATTAATTTGTAGTATCTCAGTATACCCGTAATTAAGAAAACTTAATATATGTACACAAAAACAAAAATATTTTATTAAATAGTGATGTATATTCTGTAAATATAAGATTGTTCTTAGTTACACCAGTTACTCAATTGCAGAGTCAGTAATTCCTTCATGGGGCAATGTATACACCTTTACAACAAATTTCAAGAATTTTCTTGTGCAGCTTCTTGCATATTTATGCAGGATGCTCTATCAAAAAGTATAAAATTTTTATAAAGCAAATATCGTTTAATAATGCAACTATATTATGGTTTTAGCACGAATGGGTCAGCACGACTGGAGAAAGACCACGCCCTCACAGAAAATCAGCGTAAAATAGCAGCTTATTGCTGCTGTGTTTCGAATGATGAGTGTAGAAAAACGTTGACCCATTTTAATGGAATCGAGGCATTCCATCTTAGTCCTCAGGTGTGACAACGCTTTCGCATTGAGTAAAACTATTATTTACGGATTTTATCGCGTTTAATTACTTTAATTTATTTTTATTATTATTCCGACGTTTCGGGTGCTTTACAGCACCCATGGTCACGGGGGGGGACTGAGATGTTTGACGTCCCAATGTCATAGTTAGTCCAGCTACCTTCAGTTTTTTTTTATATTAATTTTTGGTCCGATTTACGCAAAACGAGCTTATAGTATCATGAAGTCTTGCAGTGGTATGCTTGGGTTTGGGTTTAATTTTGTTAATTATAGGATCCCAAGCAGATGGTAGCACCCAACCATCTTCGCTATTGAAATTTGGATGTTTTTTAATTTCAATAGCCTCGCGTATCATCCTTGGTAGGAATCGGTGTTCTTTTGCGAGAATTTGTGGTTTATCAAATCTAATGAATGGTGGGGACGATCTTGAACATGTTCGCAGACTGCAGACTTCCCGGAGCGTCGGGCTTTCGCATTTTGATTCGAGGGTAAATGTAAATGTCTATGGGCCACAGCATTCACTTACCATCAGGTGGACTGTGTGCTCGTTTGTCACCCTTATTCTATTAAAAAAATACTACTAAAGAGTACACGATTGATAACAGCCCCTGGGAATATGTGATCACCACTATATTGTTGTTTAACGTTTCATACTCAATTGAATAAAATATTGTAATTAAAAAAAAAATAAAGAGTCCCGCTGGTTTTTTTGCTAGTTCGTTTCATGACAGAGGTTTTTTGCGAACTTCTGGTAAAACTTAAATTAATTTTAATATGTATTGTTGTAATCGATATCGAATAAAAATGATTCTATTTGGATATTATAAGAGGCAACAAAGGAAAATTAAACTGGGGATGGTCGGTTGGGAGTTGTCAATGGCAAATGAGGTAATTTACTTATTGTAACTAGCGTTGCCAGGCGTCCGGATAAAGCCGGACATAGTCAGGCTTTTCGGTTTCGTGTCCGATCAAATTAGACGGTGTCCGGTCTATCCGGCTTTTGTAGGTTTTTTAAATAAGTATATTTTTTACGTTATTCATGTATATAATGCAATTATTGAAATTAATACTGTAATGAATATTGAATGATTAATAATTAAGAAGACTGATCTAGCACCCCTAATTGTAACGAATTAATAAAAAATGCATACGAAAACTCAATTTGTTTATTTCTTACAATTACATGATATTATTAATTTCTTACTCTAAATAATTATTATAAGTAAAATAAAAATTGCATTTATTAAAGCTTCTCATTAAGACCGCTATTTTTTTCATTGTAATTTGTTAAACACTCAAAACTGGCTTAGAATTTTAACATTTGGTACCTACTTTTTTGCTTACTACTCACTTACAAAACGATTGCATAAGTTTAATGATGGTGTTCGATGGTGTGTCCATGTGACTGAAGGTGTGCGTGTCCACCATAACCGTGACTAGAAACCGACTCTACTCCAATTCCCGAAGATATCACTGACCCCCCAATTCCCGAAGATATCACTGACCCCCCAATTCCCGATCCAATTCCAGAGACTAAAACTGATCCACCACCAATTGACGACCCAATAAGGGATCCAGCGCCGATACCTGAACCAAAACCGGTGACTCCAGCTCCAATACCGATACCACCTCCTACGGCTACTGGCACAGGTTGTGGTACACCTACTGGCACGGGTGCTGGAACTCCCACAGGGACCGGCTGAGGTACAGGTATACCAACACCCTGGGTCACAGTTACCGGTACGGGCTGAGCAACGGGGTAAGGCACAGGCCGATTAACAGGAACAGGTACTGGTCTTGCTACTACGTGTGGTATAGGCTGAGGCACGGACACTGGGACTGGACGTGGTCGATCGACCGGTACTCCAACTGGTACCGCGACTGGTACTGGTCGCGGTACATCGACTGCTACAGCCTGTGGGATCGGTATCGCTACTCCATTGTTGATTTCCGAGTACGAGTGGCGAGTCGGTATGCCCGCTGCGGAAAGTGCTGCTGCTGTACCGAGGCCGCCGTTAATGCCTAAACCGGAACCAATACCGATTCCGGTGCCGTAGGCAGACCCAATTCCAATACCGGAAGCGAGACCAATGCCTGACCCGATTCCAATACCGCCGCCATAACCGTATCCAATTCCTCCTCCATGGCCGTAGCTAATTCCACCTCCATGGCCGTAACCAATTCCGTGGCCGAGGCCTATGCTGTAACTAGCATCTCTTTTCTTTTGTTCTGCACTCTCAATCTGGATGCAATTTAAAGACAAAACTAGAGCACAAATGATCTGAAAAAAGGAAAAAATTGAAGTAAATACAATATTCAAAAAATACGACAAAGTAAATATAGAAAATATGAAAAATAATAAACATTTTAATTTTGGTTATTTTCCCTTTTGTAAATATTGAGTTTATACTGTGAAGAACTAATAAAACTTATTAAATTAGATTAAACGAGTTTACATACAGTCCAGCTAATGATAAGTGACTACTTCATCCCATTCACACTAACCTACTTCAAAAAAAGGTCTCTAATGCGTTGTTACCACAGGACTTTCATGAAATGCCTCACCCTGGCTAATTTACCCCGTAAACCGGAATACAACAGTGGGTGCACTGATGTGGCGTGTATCTATTCGTAAGTGTATCAATCAACTCAGGACTCCTGGACTATCAAAGAGCCCAGGTTTTTCTAGTTATGAAAATATGATGTAATTGAAAATTTTTACGTGCTTATCATCTTAAATATATTAATTTAATAACTTACAAATTGAAACCTAAACATTTTCTTAGATATTCGTATATCCAAGTAAACAGTGCAATCGTAAGGACCGATGAAAGTAAGTGTATCAGAATAAGTAAGTAATGGTATTTATATGTTACTTGAGGTTGATAAGTACATGACATGTGAAGCGAGCCTATGTGCGGAACCGCGGTGCGTTCAAACCTTGTCACGTGGAAGAAAGTTGTTGGGATCTCTATGGGTATCGTAAATACCCTCGAAGAAATAAAGTTTTATGATATTATTATATCTATTTGTTATTTTTTCTATTGATATAAAGAATAATACGTGTAGATTTAATTTTCTGTCTTTAGTTTACTTAATTTTACATTACTTTATAATTTTTGATGAATATGCAGTGCAAATGCGCATGATAAGTTAATACTCGAAGTTACCGAGTTACGTCTCCTTCGGAACAGGCAATGATCAATCACCACACAGCCTATTCAGTCATGTCAGATAATATTCATTTAATAGATAACCAATGGCTTTTTTATTTTAATAACATAGCTTATTCAATGGTTTTTCTAAATATGTATATTTCTTTTATTAAATTTTAATTTCTACAGACTCGCCTCAATATTTCAATATTATGATTTTTTTATAATGAAGGCTATTTTATTATAAAAATAGCCAACATTATCCATTGCCTTACCTTATTTTGTCTAAAATGGTACACTCTGGTTATTCAGAAGTTATATTTATTAATTAAATACAGAAGCTTGAGTGCACTAAGTGCTCGACTGTTGAGTTTTTCTCTTGAAAACTCAAAAAATAAAATAGACTTCAAATCCAGGTAGTATGACTTCTTATCCGCCTAGGAGGTGCCTAGAAGTGCCTAATGCCTAAGAGGAGGGCGTCGGGGCAGGTACCATACCATATAATATACCTCTTACATATTTCTGCCGCTAAATAGCAGTAAAACAACTGCTTTGATCTGTTTTGAAGGGTATAGAGAGCCAGTATATTTGCAGGCAGTGAAGTATTAAGCATTTCATCTTAGTACAGAGGTGACTTCCTCAAGTCTCACCACGGCTTTTGGCTGCCCCCCACTTCGCTAACAAGTAAGAGGCTGCCTCTCGAAAACCTTTCTTCTTGTACTCATACGTACACGAGTACACACACCTGTACGTACACGAGTACATCATCACAAATCGGACATGCACGACCACGAGCAGTCGAACGGCCGCCACGACTACTTCGACGCCGTATTCCGTACGCACCCGTACGTTCACGTTTCTTCGATCTATATGGCCGGTTCATTACCAGAACTTAAGGATAAGATTACTATGGTTCTTCCACAGACATTACAAATTCTATCACGTTAGATATTTATGCGTATTTTAATTAAAGGTAAGGTAACACATACCGTGCCTTGTAGTGGCGATGTAAGAATATCCACTATCCCATATCATCCCGTGGGTGTCGTAAGAGGCCACAGAGGGAAACAAATCAGGATATAGGCAGCAGTTTTCCCCAGCAATCGTTATTACGTCTAAAGGCGAAAGAACTCGCTTGCCAGGCTTGGTAATCTAAGCGGGAGGCATGTGTTCCGCGGTGGACTTTAATAGGCTGTAACGGGGTAACGGTAAGGTAACATATTCTATTATATTCGCTCATTTTATTGCAAATTGAAGGGTATATTTTTAAGGTATCTCATTTTATTTTATTTTTCGCACAAGCAGATGTCCTCACAATGTTTCCGTAAACGTCTGTAAGTGTTCTTATTTTAACTCATGATTTATTTTAGTAAATAGTTTAGGGGCTTAAAACTTACCGTACATTCACCCTGCTCCTAAATGTAAATTTAAGTGCTGATTTATCGCGTACTCGGTGGTGAAAGAAAGCATCGTGAGAAAATTTGCATGCCTGGTGTTGAAAAAAACGAGGTCAAGTAATGATCGTCAACTCCTTAACCTTCTCATAAATGCAAGGAGGGGCCTGTGTACAGCCATAACTTTACTTTCCTTTTATAATTTCATTTTATGGTGGTTGAGTAAAATATAACTATTCAATTATTTCATTACGAACACATACAATATAAATACCCAGTTATACCACAAAAATAAAAGTAATTGAAAAAACATGTTTTTGTTGTAATTTCATACAAAGAACACAGTCATCAAGTTAGGAAAAGACATTTATCGAATTCTAACATTAATTGCAAAAAAACATGTGGTGGTTTTAACAACTCCATGATGTCTTTTCACTACTCATATTACTTTGTGAACATGTCAACGCGTCTGCCCGCTTAGGTAAAACTAGACCAGTTTCAGGTTCCACACAGCGCTAAACCAATACGCAATCGTCTACACAACCTATATTATGTAAGGTTTATTATTAAACAGATAATTGATACTTAATACGTGAGTGATATTAATACGGAAACATATATACAACCTTCTATAATATTCAACCTTGATATTATGGAATCTTAAAATTTTGTATTTGTTGATTTCTAAATTGTCACCTGCCTGTTTAAACTGATGCAAATATAATCTTTAGATACATATTTATTACCTTGTAATATGACCTGATAACCTGTTAAGAAAATTCCATCATCCATGGGATATCTGTGGGATATATGGAAGAATTCATCTCATTTAAGTAATGATGCGTAATATACCCAGACCAAGGGCAGGAATACTGATTCTGCGTTTCTTATTCCGCCTGGCAAGTGTGATGATTAAAGGGAGTCCTTTGTATAATGAGGGTGGACCATCTCCAGAAGTAGACTCTTACAGGATCAAGAATAATTGTTATGAAGTAACCTATGTCCACATCTATGCCAAAATTCATTAAAATCCATTCAGCCGTTTAAACCTGATTGAAGGACAAACATACACACTTTTTATAAGTATAAAGGTGACAAACGAATGCACTTACTACCTGATGGTAAGTAAATGCAGTGGCCCACAGACCTACATTTATCCTCGATTAAATATCAAACTGCAGCATTATCATCCCTGGGGACAAAAATAGGATGCGTCGTTACCATTAAAAACGGCCTACGGTTCCTTAAACTCACCATTTCACGCTAGTGTTATGTAAAAGCATCTTCTTTCATCGGTTTTGTTACAACCATAATATAAAAAGTAATGTAGTCCTGACCGAAATTGGAACATGGCGGTCAGTCTCAACGTAGACTAGCCATCTGCGCTGAACAAGATTTTATTAACCATGGTATATAAACTATATACTTAAGCACGGGTGCTGCGTCTATTTCCCTACTTTCACGATCTGATGCACTCAGACTGGACCGGAGATATATCAGGTGCCACGCTGCAGCTATTATGGTTGTAGCATGAATGGGTCGGCTGGACCGGGGAGGTCCACGCTCTCACAGAATACCAGTGTAAAAGAGCAGGTTAATGCTGCTGTGTTTCGTATGGTGAGTGTGGAGAATCTCTAAATGCCTCGTTGGTCCAGTGGTTGTAGTAGTGCGATTGCTGATCATAAGGTCCTGGGTTCGAATCCCGGGTCGGGCCAAAAAACAACTATTGAGTTTTTCCTTCAAGAAATTCTCAGTAGCTGCCCGGAGTCAGGAAGTTGGCGGTGTCTCACCCCCGTGCCTCGGAAAGCACGTAAAGCCGTTGGTCCTGCATCTGATCTCTATCCGGTCGTGTCGGTTTACCGTCCCATCGGATTATGAGAGTGAGGGAACAGAAAGCGCACCTGTGCTTGCGCAAACACTTGGGCACTATAGTCCTGTCCTGCACAGATGGTTAGTCTCCGTTAGGACTGGCCGCCGTAACCGAAATCCGGTCTGGAGAAAATTTAGTAGAGCACCGGAAACCCGTTTTACTGGAATCGAGGCATTCCATCATAGTCCTCAAGGGTGACAACGCATCTGCATTTTGATTCTTAATCGAGGTTAAATGTAGATGTCTATGGGCCCCAGCATTTACTTAACATCAGGTGGACTGTGTGCTCGTTTCTTACCCTTCCTATAAAAAAGTACCAACAGCTTTACTTGCTTTCCGAGGCACGGGGTTGAATCAACGCCAGCATCCTGACTCCGGAATGTTACCGAGAACGTTATACCATTAAAACTAATTACTTGATTTTTGCTCGACCCGATCACATGACAGCAGTCGCGTTTACAATCACTCAAACGAAAAAAAAAATGTCGTGGCACTCTGGTTCGATGGTCGAGTAGTGGCGACGTAATGTTGCTGCTGTTTGTTTTTCTGTTCAAATACTTGTGTAAATATCCAATCGAGTCTTTGGATAACTATTAATAGGATTAATAATAAATCGCCTCACGAGTGCTTCATTTAATTTTGATGAAAAATATAAATTGTATTCCTGACTTTTAAAATATATTATTTACGTGTTTTAAATTTAGCGCTCTATTATTTTATCAGGTAGTGCCACTACAGGGAAAAAGACAATGTTAATCAAAATAAATCGATTACACCAAGTATAAAATCACTATAGGCTGTATGGTACATTTGTCTATCTATCAAGGACTAAAAAAATATAAAAGCGCCTTTAAATTTTGAATAGCAATAAAACTTGTAAAAGTTGAAAATTATTTTATTGACAAACTACGCATACTAGGCTATCCTACAGATACGAAATATGGAACCAGTTGATGAAATCCTGAAACTAATAAAAAACGAGTTTACGATACGCTAATAAAATCGGGAGTTGTCGTGAGCACATACAAAATAAACATCCGGACGTCCACATAAAAAAATTTACCGTTTTTTTTTCAAATTAGCAATAAAGAACGATTTTTTAGAAAATATAATAAATATATGATATACGGCTACTTATGTTGTAGTGATGTAGCACTAACTAATAACGCTTCACGTTATGAGGCGTGCAAAAATGTAAAATAGTAAGTAGCTGACATGTAATAATTTAAGGATCTTCAACAGGACGAGCTCCAATTCAAGTTAATAAAATAACAGTAGATACATCAAAATAATATTCGATTAATTGCATAAAATTGAATTCCTTAATTTTTATTTATAAATATTTAAAGGAAGAATAAC